CTCTGAACAAGGCTGAAATGACTGATGGCTCCTCCAACCAGCTCTCCGCTCCCTTCAGCTCAGTGGTGGCTCTCAGGTCTTCCTCCACGGTTCAAGGTGAGACAGAAATCACAAGACGACTAAAGAGACCTGCCCCAGGATCTGGATCTTTCCATTTCTCCATCAACAATGCCAAAAACTCAGATGGAGAAAGACCCAGATCAGGCAGTTTTGTGGGAGTGCTGGAACAGCATGAAGCCAGGCACAGAACAGAGGAGAAACCCTTTTCAAGCATGAGGGAAAAGGCAGAACTTAGAGACGTACAGCCAAGAGGGGTGCCCTTCGCTGTGGGAAGACTTAGACAAGACGGAGCTCCACACAAAAGCTCAGTTCAACCACGGGAAAGGAGGGACAACCTTAAAGAGGTGGAATCAGTGACACCATCTAAAAATGCATCCGCGGACACAGGCACTGTCGAGAGGGCGGAGGTGGAGGGCAGCCAGGAGGTGGTGGAAGAGGCGGAGGAAGCACAGGAGGCCGCGGAGGAAGAAGGAAAGACGGCGTTTGGTGTTAAACTGCGCTCTACATCTCTGTCGATGAGGTCTCGGTCTGATGCCTCTTCTAACTATAACTCAAAGCCGCCAGTGTGCGAGGAGCAAAGTGACAAACAAAAAAGACAGGAAATAAGCGATAATTCCAGCTACACAAGTAAAAAAGTAACAACAAACATCTCTTGTACACCATCCACTGCTGGAGGCCTCCAACTGACAGGTGAGTCTCTGAGAAATGTTATTGATTTCACCATATACAAAATATTTAAAAAGAAGAAAGAACAATATCTTTTCTTACGCCATACTATGCCACTATCTTTTTTCAGTCGCCTATAGGGTTAATCATTGAACAGATGCACGCTGTAAATTCCACAGTAAATAATCACATTGTTCTGGAGTGATAAGATTTTCTCAGGGGACCTTTGTACTTTAACAGACTAACTTTAACAGAGCTGCCAAGTGTGTCTAACTTAACTGTGTCTCCTTAGATCCAGCCCCATCTGGCTTCTCGCTTCCACTTAAACATAACCCACCATCTACTGTCGATCCTCCCATCATGCCAACTGAAGTCCAAACAACCTCTTCAAACCCCAAAGAAGCTGAAGCTGTTCTCGCAGCGCCTCATGAGCCCCAGCCAGCCCCGCAAACTACCTCATCTGAGGTGTCCTGGATGAGCTTGGCGATGGAAAAGACCAGAAACCTCCAACAGCTTTTTACTAGTAGATTTCCCAGAGATTTTACAGGCATGCAGGCAGCGGCCCGGCCACAAGCACAGGTGCAGACAATAAATCCGACAGAGACGACGACTGGGGCACAAATACAGACACAGACTGTAAAAATACAACAAACTGCAACACCAATAGAGGTTGCAAACCAAACATCAACTGATGCAGTCAAAGCAGAAACAGTGAAAAGCAGATGTCAAGCACAGACTGTCAAACCATCCCTAGTGGCAGTGCAGCAGAAGACTTCGGCTGCGCCTCCTGTTCAGTCAAACACCTCTCGAGAACCACAAACATCAAAACAAAGCAATGAACCCCAGCCACACCCAGGCACAACTCAGTCTGCGTTTGTACAGACCAACACATGGACAACCCAGTCTCCCCTGCACTCTTCTGTACAAACACAGACCTCATCTCAGTTTGGACAAAGGAGTGTCACACAGTCTCTTGCACAATCTTACCTTTCCTCGGGTCAGCAGCAACCCCTCGGGAGCAATCGAGGTCCTCCCCCTGCCAGCCAGCTCAAATCCACAACTTCAGCTCTAACTTCAGTTTCTACCACCTCGTCAGCGACGGCTCATCCTCCAGTTTCTGCTTTGGGTATAGGGGAAAGAGAAGCCCCTGTGCAGGAAAAAGAGGGTGCAGCACTATCAGGCAGACGGGCAGTTTGGGCTGGGTCAGTAAGTGAGAAGGCAGCTTTTTTGGAGAAACGGGCAGAGTGGACCACTCCACCTGGAGCCAAGGGGGTTTGTGGTACTTCTTTGTAACTGTCTTTCATACCGTGTTTGACTGTGAATCAATTAAAGGATAAGGCTGTCGACATATCACATGAAAACTTCAAAACTAAGAGTGATAGTCAGTTTCTCAGTTCTTCCTGACTTCCACACCCTGTCTAAGGCACTCAGTCTCAAGTCTGTTTGTTCCTTCTGGGGATATAAATCTTAAAAGTCAAGGTCACTGATATCTTCATGGATCATTGCAATAATAATCAATAATTGCCTAAAACAACTGGGAACTGTAGTTTTTAGCACACATTACTCAAACCAAAGTAAATAGTGCATTTGTGGAGGCTATTTTAGCCACTTCTGCGTACTAGTGAGTATTTACAATGACTCAAAATAAGCCACAGAGCTCAAAGTTCATCCTAATGAAGAAGTAGGTCAGCCAGTGCAATTGGGTGGCTCATTGATATCTTTTTAATAGTTTCTGGACAACAATGGAGGTTTATGGTGCAGAGGACTAAGCTACATGAGGCTTTGGCTACGTAGACAATTCTTGTGCAGGATGAACTCTTTTGGTTTGGGTCTTTTCATGGAATTTGTTGACAATTCATTTAATTTATTCTTTAACCACTATTTTCTTTAGAGTGTCCACTTATCCTGAGCAGATGATCTAACTCACAGTTTTCTTCAGGTGGAAATGAGGAAAGCTCAAACAGAGGCGCAGACATCAGGTGAATTCCCTGCCTCAGCCAAAACCACGTCTCTAATCAAAGACACAAAACCAGAGGGAAGACAAATAGTAAAACCTGCAGGTGTGTTGGCACACATTAATTACAGTTACAACTGTACAAATACTAAACTGTTTATCATTATCTCCATGAGCAGCACCATGACATAGCATCTTCTTTCAGAGTCAAGTCCCACCAGAGTTCCAGACAGGCCTCGTGAGGACAAATGGCTGCGGAAAAATGTGCCGCCGTCGTCGTCACCCACAATGCCATCAGCCTTGCAGTCCATGTCGGACAACGCCCAGCCATCATGGATGGAACTGGCAAAAAGAAAGTCAATGGCCTGGAGTGATAAGTCCATGGACTGAGTGGGAATACAGACAGACAGACATATTGTTGCAGGCACATCATAAACAGCCCATACAAGGGCCCTGCAGACGATGTGTTATTGAATTTTATTTAATTGTAAAGTTTGAATGTTATACTGAGCGACAGAGAGAGAGAGTTTATATGTTGAAAAGTTCATTATATCCCTTTCCACCACAAGCACATCAAGATAAATGATATTTCTGAATAATGTTTTATGTGATTCAGCATGTCACTGCTGTTAATAGCTTATGTTAAATAATAAACTTTGTAATGTTAACTTTTTGTGTCATTTGTCAAGTGCCTTACTGTAAGATATCTAAGGAGAAGATATTAAATGACTACATTTAAATATACAGTGACTGACTTTATACTCCCTCAACTTCAGAAATGATCTGTTAAAACTCAGTAAATGAATACAAATGTTTTTACTAAAACACATTTTTAACTAATTGTGTTAGCGAGGCAATAAAGAGTAAGTGTGGATTAACATATAATTGTAATCTTTCTGTGTGGGTCAGGACGGAGGTAAGACTGAGGATGTCTGAGTCTGTAGTCGCAGACACGTACCTCTCTACACTAACAGGTCTGTCAGTTTATAGTGAAGGCCCAGAAGAAGTCTGATCTGGATACACTAGTGTGGCACAACATACATGTATTGTTTCACCTTGATCACTGATTTTGAAGTTGGGGGATATTGTGGGTGTGGTAAACTTAGCAGTAATGTACCAGTGGGACATTCAGGTGATTACTAATTTGGCCTCCAGGCCCTGATCCGGACCCTGTCTAGTAAATGGTAGATTATACTGCATACCATGAATATAGCTGGTTGAAACCATGTACTGAACATGTTACCAATAATTAATGGTTTGGGTGCATAATCACACACTTGGCCCAATGCTGCAACTACATGAGAGGCATTAACCTTTCTGAATCCTTCCTTTACATTGAGATTACTGTGGATATATTAAAGCACACTCAGTAATATAGGAAGCAGTTCTGTAAATACCGTTGTTGCGAATCCCTGAATTTGAATAACCGTTAACAATGTGGCAGAGATTGTGGCAGATTGTTTTCGAGGCAGCAGTTTTGTTGTTGTTGGTGATATAATTCAAGTGGACAAAATAACAGAAACATCTTTGTAATTCAGTCAAAAGTACTGCCTCAAGTACACCAGTGGTGGAAGTATTCAGGACCCTCACAGAAGTAAAAGCGGTATAAGTATATCCCATTACAAGTAGAAGCCCTGCATGTTAATATTATAGCTGTTCAAGTGGGAAATCGTTTAATGACTCTAAATACTGTTGGATAGTTTAATCCAATGCTCACAACCTTTTTGGGAAGTGACCCCCTAAAATATATCATTACTTTGCATCCTTTGTCTTAGGTTCTCATAGTGGGGGTGTAAGCTGTGAATAGGTTTTATACATTTTTCCAGATGTCTAAAGAAGTGAGTCAGAGCAAATGATGTAATATGTAATGTAATATGTAATATGTCTTTTACTGTTCGTTTTAATGATCTTAATGTAACGCCTCAGATTAATCTTTGGACCCCTTGGAGTGTCCTGAGCCTCTGGTTAAGAACCACTGATTAATCTTGCAAAGTGTTTAACCATCATAGGTTTTGTATGTAAAAACTTAATCTGCAGAATATAATAAACATAGATGAGAAATAAATGTTAGTGAAGAAAAAAAAAAGGGGAACATTTCGCTCTAAAATCTAGTTGGTAGAAGCATAAAATATGTATATTATATGTATATATTTAAATATACTTACCAGTACCTCAACGTTGTACCTAAATGTACTAAAGACATATAATTCAGTGTAAAGTAGTTCAACTTGCTCTATTATTCTAAGTATATATATTATCTGCTCTGTCAGTAGGGGTCGCTGTAAGCCTGCTCTCTATTGCAAAATCTCCTCGTGTTACGAAAAACACATCCACGTGAGGTTGTAAACAAGAGAGTGGATGAAGGGCGGCCATTGTCCGAGCTCAATGATATGAGGGCCCGCTATTTTCCCCTGGCAGTGTTTGCCAGCGTCCTGTTCCTGTGTGAAAGCTACACCCTGAGGAGCTCGGTCTCCTGGGTCGTCTCCTCCAACGATGTGGTGGAGGACGCGGACCTGTCCGAGGAGGTCGCCCCGGCGTTGCTGGTGGACAGTGCGGGGCTGTGGAAGCAGGCTTACCCGTCCTCCAACGTCCTCGGAGACAGCGTGGAGAGCCCCGGGGAGCTAGTCAAACCAGAGAGCGACGATGTGGCGCAGCTTTCCTCTCGCCTGTTTTCATATCGGTTGGAGAAGGTGAAGAAGTCCGCCAGCAGCAGTCCTCCTCCTCCTCCTCCTCCTCACCAGGAGACCGCCAGGACTGCCAGATACATAGCGCATTACAGTGACTGGGGACATCTGGCCACCATTTCAACTCAAGACAAGGTAACACACACACACACGGGGGGGAAGTGGTCCCACACTGTAGAGACCTCCTAATTACTGGGTCAATACTCTGCATTCATTTAAAACAGGACTGGCCAAGCAACAAGCTTAACCATCTTCTAATAACAAACACTGACAGGACATTAGTAGAGTCATGGCTGTAGTAGAGCTTTTAGAAATACTCTAAAATAGGTAACAGACAGTAAGTACATTTAAGTTCTGCACTTAAGTACTATCTTGAGGTATTTTGTTGTTTTGAGTATTCTCATTTGTGCAGCTTTTTACTCCACTACCTTTGTCTAGGCCTACAGTAATTAGTTACTTTGATTTTACATACAAAACTTGTGGTCAAATTCTAAAATATGGTGCATTCCTATAGATTCAAACCCTTGCACACCCATACAGGTGTTTCCAGTAATAATAATAATAATAATGATAATACATCACGTTATATAGTGCTTTAAAAGATACTCCAGGGCACTTTACATGGCAGCAAAAGGACAGAAACAGCAAAGGCAGTAATGTGTATATGTGGCTGATTTGGTTGGAGTTGTGTAAAGCTATGCTGTGAATTATAATGTACTTATGACAGATAACAAAAAAATCCATAATTTAACACTCTGAAGCAGACCATTCTGCATAATGAGTACTATTACTTTTGATTTGTTAAGTACATTTTGCTGGTAATACTTTAATGGTAGTAGAATTTTGAATGCAGGACTTTATTATACATATATATTATTTGTGGCAGAATATTGACAGGCAGGATTTCATTCTCTCAGTCTCTCTGGCAGAGGGGGAGAATTGCCAATGATTACAGATATTGATTAAACCGAACCACAAAAATAACATAAATATTCATGGTCTCTGTTGTGGCTGGTCTCAGCTTTCATTTTTGAGCTTTTCCAGTCTTGCAATTAGGGATATTGGCACATATGCAGAATCTTCCAATTTGTTATTACAGTTGGAAAAGACTGACACCAATTCAGACTCTTCTGAAGCTACAATTTTATCACTGAATTTTCTCTCAGACAAGACGGCTTTTCTAATGATCTACTTTTTGCCCAGATCAAAGGTCTCCCCTTTGGGAACATCTTCTCAGTCAGCGATGGACCGCTGGACAACAGCACGGGAGTGGTCTATTTTTATGTGACTCCGATGGACAACACCGTATCAGACCTGAAAAGTAGTCCCTATGCTTCTCTTACATTCTCAGAGGCTGAGGGAGAGTTCTGCAGGTAAGCCCCAACTTTTAATACACTCCCCTGAACTCATGGCCAGGTTCATTTGCTAAAATGCCCCAAGGAAAAAAAATAACTGCATTAAATCGCAGTTCTTTCTACACTGGAGGCAAGACGTACAGTTTTTCTCTGCCAAAATATTACCTTGCCCCAAGGTTTGCTGCGTTCAACAACATGTCAATTAGTACAAAACAGTTGACGCACAGCAAGCCTGGAGCTTTTTGGGCCCTGGGGCAGATGCCAGCTTTGCCCGGTTGGTGATACAACCTTGACAGAATTAAATGACTGCAAGTTACTGAGAGGCTCAGAAAAGCTAGAACACCTATGTGTGTGTGTGTGCTGCAATGGTAACATGGGTCTCCTCTGTTTGAAGGCAAATGATGTATGATCCAGAGGATCCAAGATGTGCTCGACTCACACTAACAGGCAAGATGGTGGAGGTGGCCCCAGAGGAGCTTGCATTTGCAAAGGAAGCAATGTTCTCAAGGTAACGGAGCTAATGATCGATGAAGTGGTGAATGATTACATGAATGAGAGAAAAGAGCAATATTTGGCATATATGTTGTGTGTTTGTAGACATCCTGTGATGGCAAAGTGGCCAGTGGGACACAAGTGGTTCTTCATGAAGCTGGAGTTGATCCAGGTCTGGCTGCAGGACTGGGTCGGAGGCACGTCACTCATTCCACTGGAGGACTACTTTAAAGCTACGCCTTTCTGAGAATATCCCTTCCTCAGCATCATGTCAGCCTACACAGATCAGTTCAGCTGTCTACACCACAGATGACACTCTAATAAGAAGAAGCAAGAATTCCCAGAGCAGCAATGTGCAAAGAATATTTTCAAAATCTTTTTCAAACATTGTTGCTATTTTAACTTGTGAAAGTGAATATTCTTCACTTTTCCTCTTTTGCTTCTCCACTTGGCTTGCCACACAAAATCAGTTCCTGTGTTTGGTTTGTGAATGTATTTAAAGTCAATAAGCTAGTTAAATTTAATGGTCACAATCATTGCAGCTATCATAGAAAATTCTATGATATTTAGTATATTCTTTATAAATATTTTTGATTTTAACATTTTATGGGTTTGCATTCAAATATGTGTGCTGATTGAAAAAATAAATGAATATTAGCACACAATTGTTGTGCATATTTTAAAGAATATGTTAATTTGTTGTGTTCAGTTGGCATTTAAGCCCTGGGAATAAACTAAAGTAACTATGAGTTGACATCCAGCCAACCAGACTCCAACGCTGAGTTAGGTAAAACTTTATTTTGAAATGTGAAGCTGTTTCTTTGTGTTTAAAGGCTTATCTAATGGTAGGGTCATGCTCTTATTATCTCTTAAGGAGTGGTACTGGTTTTAAACCACAGACTGTATAATTAAAAACGTTTGATTGGACAGATCAGGCACTTGACATCTACATGAATGCAGTAGAGCTCATGTCCAGTAGGAGGCGCATATTGTACTTGTAGAAAGAAGAGTCGCTACTGCTGCTTGTGGTGGAAAACAAGTCTGTCAGTCTAATCCTCCAGGCTTCTGGTGATTACACGGTGCTGCCACCTCTACACAGTTTTCAGTATAAATTTTGGGTATTTCAACCTGTAGTAATTCGAGTCCAGACTGGGACATGGGTCGGTACAGATTTAATCTGATAAAATGTTTCTTAGCTCCAGCTATGTATTGCGCCACAGGTATCCTTGCTTTATTTTGAAATGTGTTACCGGAAGACCCCTCTGTACGCACTGTGACATTAAAAGGAAGAGGGACTCTGCTACTAAAATATAAACGACTGAAGTATGTTTGAAATCAGCTTGTAGCCATTCGTTTACAAACATGGACACCCTTAATATGCTACTATACTATAAAAATAGTCCCTGCTCTCCTCTCTCTCTCTCACGTGAAAGTCACGCAGTCAGAACATGAACGTAAAAGTTATCCATGTATGACATGATGCCATCACGTTAATAGATAGATAGAAGAAGCCTAGCAATGTTACGTGTCCCATGATTGAAGAAAAAAAAAGGCTTTTAGTGGAAACCCGTAACGGGACGCTTGGTTAGTTGTCAACACGCCGCTTTTATTGTTTTAAATTCATCTGTTGCCAGTTGAAGCGGAATCGACGTGATTTGAGGCGTTGCCTCCGAGCCGCCGTCAGAGCGCGAGCAGCCTATCCCAGAGGACCAACCGTCACACACTCCAAATGCATTCCACTTGTAACTTGTAGCTAACGGCTGGCGTCAACGTCTACGATGGATCGTAACGGCAGCTCGCTCGTTCGGTCTCAACCGACCATGTAAAACGTGTCGTCGCGGAAGGCAGTTGACTCGTCACTGGTGGCCGTTGGACGGTTCGGGAGGAGTCCGTTAGTTACAAGCCTCCGATCAACGACGAGGGAAAGACGCACCGAGACTGACGGTACGTCCGAGCACTCCCCCTCCCTCCCTCCTCCCTAGAAGAAGTCCGTGTTCACAGCCCGGTTCACTAGAGCGTTTATTATTTTTTTTTTTTTTTACCGTTTGACACCCCCCCTCCTCCATATGCCTGCGCCTACACCCGCCTCAACACCCTGAAGGCAGAGCGAGAGAGGGAGGGAGGGAGGCGACGGCAGCTCCGGGGTCCCCGACACTCAGCCGAGGAGAGGCACCGCTGAAATGAGATGAGGCTCAGAAATGGAACTGTGGCCACTGCGATTATTTTCTTCACGTCGTTCCTCAGCCTGTCCTGGTACACAGCGTGGCAGAATGGCAAAGGTAGGCTCCACACTTCTGTCATTGCACACACACACTGTATATATATATATGTGTGTGTGTGTGTGTGTGAAGGCAAGAGGCGACAGTTTAAGGCCCGGTTATAAGGAGCTGGCGGGTCCAGCAGCATGTCGTAGGACAGCAGGTGTTCCCGTTCACTTCGGACCCATCCCGTTTCTGTCCGGTACAACAGGCAGCGTACCATTACAAACGTTGTCCGGGTGCTAAGTGCTTTACACCAGTGATACCTATTGTGTTGTTGTTTTTTTAAGCTCCTGTGTATTTTGTTTCCTTACTATTCCCACTGTAAGCCTTTTATTTACAGTGTGACAGCATGGCAGATCTGGAGTCAGTCCTTATCTCCCCCCCGCAGCTCATTGCTCGTCTCCACATTGTTTTGTTGTTTCTCTCCAAGCTCAACCAGTTGGGGATAATTGAGTATACCCCCAGTTAGTGTAAAGCACCACACATTCACACCATTCAATGCCATTTCCCCTTCCAGACAAACACAGTCCATTATTAGACAAGTGTGTCTGTGTTTCACTGGTATGCAAGGGCCTGGTGCTTACTTGCTGTGGGTTAACCCAGTCCATTGGGGGTGGGGGGGTTTATTATCAGCAGAGTGTAAATAATTGCAGCCTTTAGATAAATTCCAAGCCGAGGGTTCATGTTTGGCAATTACAGTGCAGCTTATCAGCTGGATGAAATATTTTCCTTTAAATGGAGTCCAGTGAGTGCCGCTATTAGAGCAGCCCCCCGCCTGATGAAAGAGTGTGTGATAAGCAAAGGTCAAGCGTCAGTGACCTCTGTCCTGTCTGCTGCACCTGTTGATACAGTCCAAAACAGGGATATAAAAGAGCACACCCTTCTGTTTGATCTCAGTTTAACAAGATACAATCATGATACATTGGCTAGCAGTGTGTGTATGTTGGAAACACGTTTATCTGTACCTCACAGTTGTCTACACAGCTGATGACACGGTCAAATACACAACACTTGCAACAAGCATGCACAAAACTCTGATCCTTTCTTTAGTGTGCTGCGTCCTCCTCTTAATGCCAGCATTCAGCTCTATCTATCTATATATATATATATATATATATATAGATATATAAGTATCAGATTAAACAATATTAAAGGACCAAAAAACACTTGACTGGGACATCCCTAAGACAAACATCTTTATTCTCTTGCATGCTGCCTGTGTTGTCACTTCAACAACACATGTGCACAAATACAGCAACAACAACAGCAACAACAACAACAACAACTAACAGACACAATAGAAGTTCCCTCAGGATATCATAACCTAGCAATTAGTAAAGGGCCGACAAATACAAACAGCCACAAGTGTTCACATAGACACGATGTCAAAACTAAAATCAATCACTTTCTGCCGGTTGAAGCAGAATCAACGTGACGAGATGAAAACGTTAATTCTCCGACACCATCGATGAGTGCTGGAGCTTGGTGCTGCCGGGTCGACGGACCGGGGACTTCTTCATTTGTTTGTGTTTTGTTTATTTGCAGCACCTCTTTCCCACATGCTGCCTGTGGAAGTAGTTCTCCTCATTTGTTTATGTTTTGACTGTTTGCTCCTCTTCAACCAGGCTGCACTGAACAACGTACTATTGGAGATAGCAAGCTGTTTAATCGAAGGTTAATTTACAGTTTGGACGACAAAATGTGTCAAATGTTCGTGTTCTGGGGGGAAAAAGGGGGCACGCAGTCCCTTTTTGGCCTCGTAGTGAAAGCTAGAGTATTGATTTATACAATAAACTCACAAGGCGGGGCTGTTTTTCTTTCTTTCTTGTAACCGAGATCAAATGTAACACTGATGTGCCCGAGCTGTGGAGCACATGATGGAGTAAGTAAGATGTAGACACGAAGCACGTCTTATAAATATAATGCAGTGTACTCACACACACACTTAGTCACTTAAAGCTGATTATATCTAACATATACTGTAATGTTCAGTATATTAATCTCAGGGTGCATGAAACCCGTTCTTCAAGTGTAGGCGTTTATCTGTATCCACCACATTACAAACTTTACTCGTGTCCTTTACCGTGTACTGCTCTTTGTTCTGTTTCTTGTCTGAACGTGAGATGTTTTAATACAGCTTTGTTTTCTTGTTCTTTGAGCCTCTTTGACGTCTCGTATCATTTCTCCCTGTGGTTATTGATGGCTGCTCCTCTTGATGCTGCCCAGCGTGGGTGTTTACAGTCTACTTCAGGCAACACGTCATTCTGAAAATTAAAAATTAAAAACCCGTTCTGGTAGTACACCGTAAACATTTGTATTGGTATGTTTTATGTCTCTGTTCTTGTCGTCTATAGGGCGCCGTTTGTGGTTTAGTTATTGTGTTTTTGTTATTGTGGTGGAGGGGAATTCTGAGGCAAAGGTTTTTGTTTTTCTTATTTTTTATTTTTGCCTAACCCTTTGCTTCCGACAGCCTGTCTTGTTCCTGTAACTCGACTGCTGTGAACGAGAGCGGTGCCCGTCAGCTGTCCAAACACTCGTTGTTGAACGACTCTCCAGAGTGTGTACTTCTCTGTCAGAGTCTGCCCCGTCCCCCGGTGAGAGACTGTCTCTGGTGTCTCTGTGGTCGTGTCTCAAACAATGACTAGCAGGACTGGATGTGAGTTATAATGTTGAGGTTTGAGGTTGATGTAAAGCTGATGGCTCTTATTTCAGTGTCATCATATACGCTGGTGACAAGTGTGACGAGTGGTTTAAGGTGAACCTCATTTAAAATCAGACTGTTGCCATTCAGGCTTAGCGGAGCTTTGCCCCCTTGAAGTCTTCTCGTGTTTGCGTTTCAATACAATAATGGTAGAGTGTAAATGTTCTGTTGTGGTGCACAGTTACACCTGATGAGTGGGTATCAGGGAAAGGTAGATTAGAGAGGTAACGTCTTATCACATCACCCTTTCACAGCGACAGGGCAAACAAACTTAAAAAAAAGACTACCCGATCTACAAGAACTGCACCCTGACGGTGACGCAGCAAACACGCTTCAGCCGCCTTGTTTGTTTGTTTGTTTTCAACCTTGCGCGAAGAAAATAACACTATACTGCCGTCGCCACATTATGTCACCACAAGCTGCAGTTTTTAAAATGACCTTCGCTGTTTAAATGTGTTTTCTTTCTCCTTCAGGCAGAGTCAGAGTCACCTACTAGGATTTGTTTTCTCATTGAGATCAACGTGTTTTTACAAAAGAGACTTGCGAAACAAATTATATTTATACAATATCATAACCGCACGTGTCGGTCACACCAGCAGTCATCACACGCACAGACACTAATTAAAAACAGTCACTCAACTATTAAAATATATATAGAAGAACTTTTAAAGCAAAGTCGTTCACTTCAAACGTTACTAAGGATGTGTCTCGACAACTTTGATCGCAGTGAAATGAAAACACAGGTTTTGTTGATTAAATCAGATACCGCTGTAGTGAATGGCAGCCGATGGTTTATGGGTAGCAGGAGAATACAGGGTGGATCCGTAATGTACAGTAAATAGTACAGAGGATTGTTTGTTTTTACTGCATTATATTCGTTTCTTTCTCTGATTTACAGCCTTAGTTTGAGGCAACTCGAAAGTGTTTACGGTTGGAGCAGATCTTTTGAGATAAGAGGTTAGCAAGCACATAAACTCTTCCTTTCTGTAAATGTGACTTCCTCCTTGCCTTCCTTGGTCGTATTAATCCCCCTTCCTCTGTTTTTAAAGGCCTGCTTTGCTTCTATCATCACATCAAACACAATGGGCCCAAAATAGCACCAGTGATTGCAGTGAAGGAGGTAAATGAGCAGATATGGAGGCTGGTAGTCCAGTTACACGGTTTATCCGTTCAATGGGAGAGAATATGGCTCACACACTGTGTTTTCTCATTTCTAGTGTCTGGTTATATGTGTTATATGTGAGGGGGGGCAGTCTGCCAGACTAATCCTAAGTGGCCTGGAAGGAGGAAGAGTAGAGAGGGAGTGGATGAGAAGAGCCTGAGGAGGGCTGAACGATGGAGAGAATGGAGGAAAGTGCCGACGAGGCAGAGAGACGGTGAGGTTCGTTCCTTCGTCTGGGTTTTGAACACTACACACATTCCCAGCTCTTATTCTGTCTAAACAGGAACAGGCGTCTTCAGCTGTTTGTCATTTAACATTCATCGTTGTTTCCCTCCTCGTGCCTCTGCTCACTTCCTGTGTCTCACACTGCTGTTCATTCATTCATGTTCTTTCTCTGCGTCGGGGAAAAACATTCCAGACGGCACAGATTTTCTCCTCGTGTTAGGGAGAAGAGACGATTGCTGGACTCAACTGTTTATTAATCGGTGGCACACAGTTTCTCTAAGTACTATACTCGTTTTGTCTGCGTGGGTGTTGCATACTTTGCACAAACTCCATACAGACCCTCACTGAAATGGGGAGATGACACTCAGCTGGGGACAGTATATTTCAGTTTAAGGGCAGATTAAGATAAGTTTATAATTTCAGATTACCACATCAAGTCACTTTGTCGTACCACATATTTGTTTAAAAATGAACTGTCAGCTGAATTAAAGTAAACAGGTTTTTGGTAAATTATGACAGAAAATAGTAAGGCCTTCAAATTCAAATGGTTTTCATTGTTTATATGTTGACTATTTTCTTTATTAGTGTATTACTGTTTTGCGTATAAAATGACAGAATATAGTGTAAATGCTCATTATAATTACCCAGAGCCCAAGGTGACATTTTCAGGTTTCTCATGTTTTTTTCCAACCAGCAGTGCAAAACTCAAAGATGTTCTGTTTTCTATCATATTAACAAGAAAAAGTAACAAATCCTCACATTTGAGAAGGTGGAAACTGTAAATGTCGCTATAAAAAAGGACTGAATTTATTAGTTGATTTACCAATTAGCTGATTGACAGAAAAAAAGTGTTCCAGCTCTAAAATGAGTGTTCGTACTGGACTCTGGATCCCACTGGATATCATTAAATAATTGATTGGTGACATCCCT